AAAAAATGGCGTAGCCGAGCAAACTTCAAAGGACCTCTTTAGCAGAGTTGGGATTAGAGCAGTTCATCCGTCTCAGTGTCATTCATTTCTTTCATTGTCGTACGGTGAAGTTTTATGGGAGGCGTATAGTTTGTAAATTTTAGTCGTTTAGATTGAACATGATTTCTGGAATATGTCGTCCTGTCCTTCCGCGGTTTTGTATACGAGGTTTGTTTCAATACGTTGTCTTTTTAATTCTTTATTCTTTTATTATCTGTAGGTTTTTGCTGCATATGTAGGGCGATATTATTATTGACCATTTGCTGCTTCAAATTTCAATCTTCTTAGGGTCGAGTCATATTTTGCAATTTGACTTAGTATTTGTGATCGCACGATCAATACGTACCTGTTCCACACTCCAACTGCAGTGTGAAAAATGCAAAGATTATTTTGCTGAATTCTTCCCTCTTCGCTCCCCTTCTCAACGGCTGAATTCCAAGACCAGGGGCTCAATGGGGGAAAGTTCTAAAGTATCATTGCATTTGTCGCACTAATGAAACGAAAACCTCAATCCCAACGTTACTTGTCGTAGTTGTTCGAGCGAACTTCTTTCTTCTTTCTTCCCAAAAAATGCCTTGATTAGCGCTGATAAGAGCATCTCGCGTCTTCGTCATTTTGTTCCTTCTCTTTGATACTACTCTTTCGAAGTCGTCTAGTATATAACTGTTGGGAGTTTCACCATTTCCCATCACTAGAGCTCTTTGGTGTTTATATCGAGAGGTAGCTAGTGTGATAGGGTTTGCGTTAACGTGATGTGCATTTGTTACGTTCATTTTCAGGGTTATGTTCCACGGTATCGCAGGCAGATTATGAGAAAGTCGCGGAGGAGTCTCTCGAGAGGTGAGTCAGGTTAGTAAGCTACTATTTCGTGCTTCACATTTTGGTGCGTTCATCAAGGTCAAAGACACATTTCGTATTTTTTTAGGCTCTCCGATTATCTGGATACTTTGCCAGACAAACTTCAGGTATCACCCGATTATGATGTTACGAATGCGATGGGTGTGTTGACAATTGTCATAAGCAAACAAATAGGTTGGTTATCTCTTCAGAGTTTGCTTTTACATTTGGATTATGCTTTTCATGCTGCTTAGGGTTTTTTGCTTGGCATTCTTGTTTATTTGTTGGCAAAGCTCTTGCCTTTATTACCCATCCCGTCAGTGATAAATCAACACATTGTAGCCCATGTGCATTCCCGAGTATGCACTCGGGTTCTGAGCTCACCTTAGAAATTTCCAATTCATTCGTGAATATGTAACTTTCATCAGTCTCTCGAATTCACCAAACACGTGACTGCTCCACATCTTTACCTCGAAGGATTTCTTGGATTTCAAAATTGCACAACCATCGCCTCTATTCAAGCTTAGAAAAAATTAGTTGACATCAAATATAGCGGCTACCAACAACTGTAAGCACTTTTTGATGAGAAACCGAGCACGAAAATAGCAAGGAGCAAAAAGCGATGTTAAGTGAAAAAGTAGAATAGAAAAAAGCAATTTGTCACCAGCACAAGCGAAAGGTTTGTAGCTGGGCTTTTGCGGGTCCTGTGGCGAAGTTTGGCGAATTACATGGATCCCGAACGAAACCCTATAAAATGTGACATTTGTGCGTCGCAGGGGATGCACACGAACAAGGCAGCTATGTTATATGTATGACATGTGCCGAAAACCGGTGCTGGCGTCAAGGTGTTGACACAAGTAATTGTTGCAGTTGCAGGATATCCTCCCAGTTACATTTTTTTAATGTACAATTGACCATTTTTCAAATAACGACGGTGTTTCATTTTCAGGCACATATGTCATCAACAAACAGTCCCCCAACCGGCAGTTGTGGTTGTCGAGCCCCATTTCGGGTCCAAAGCGTTATGACCTTGTTGATCGTCGGTGAGTGAAACGATGGCGTTGCCTCTTGGCCTTGCAAATGTGCATTTCAATCAAATCGACACGTTGACCCTCGCAAAGATCCACCTTGCATTGGTTTGGCGGTTTACATTAGAATTCGAGAAGTATGAGCATACTCGATAATAAGTAAGCGGTAAGCGCAACGAACATTTATGCGATCGTTTTTCACGCTTTTCGTATTCGATTCCTCGATTTTTTCTGCAGTCGATAACACATTTCTAAGTATTCTTAAAGGAATCTTCCACGGAAAAACATCGCCTCCATTCCTACAAAAAAACGATACCTTAGGCCCCTTGCTTCATGAAGATAGCAAAAAGAACGGAACATAGGCGATGGTTTTGATAATAATTATGATAACCAGTTCGACTATGAAAATTTTGAATTCCCGCTGTAAAACTTCCACAACTGTTAGCGGCGTGGAGTCAACACGTGCAAACGTGTCAAAAGCGTGAACGTGAACAGGATTCATGTTGGGCCCTTCCCATAAACTGACACGTGGATCCGCACCTGCCACGCACTTCGTCACAGAAGCACTTCCGGTCCCGCCTACTGGTCCAATCCGGTCCCACAGATGGGTCTTTCCAAGGGCTGTTTCTCTTGGGGGTTTCATCATTTTCGCTCTGAACTTTGCATATGGTCTTCAATGACCATGCCCAACACCTGTACACAAGGAAAGGATAAGCAGTCTTTCCGTGGAAGATTCCTTTAACCTTTGAAAAGACTGCTTATCGTGCGACTTGTAGGACTTAAAGTGGTACTATTTACTAAATGTTACATGTCATTTGAAATATCGTACCTGTTTTCAGGTGGTTTTACAGTCACGACAATGAAACAATGGATACGCTGCTCACAAGGGAATTCAGAAAAATATTTGCAACGGATGAAATTGATTTCCGTAATATTCTTTAATCAGACTTCATTTTCCTCATCCTTAGTTTGTCTTTTCGGAAATTGTAGATATCTTTCAGGGAATAAAAACTCTCAGTTTATACATAAATGCTCTTCGTCAACAGGACGTCGTATTGTGGTTTAAAGACACAGCACGGGATTAAGCACGGACACCTCTTTCATCTCCAGTCATAGAAGGCAGGCGGCTGCGTTAGCGCTGGCTGAGTGTTGCGCTTTTCTATTCGTGGTGTAAGGGTCGCTGGACTTATTTCTGGAGATCTCACTGGTGAGGCGAAAATCGTCAGATGAAACGCAAAATAAAAAGAAAGAATAAATATGATATAAAAAATAAAGAATGAAAAAAGAATATCAAAAGAAAAGAGATTTCGCAGGAGTTGGGCATCTGCGCCAAAATTTTAGAACCGTATTGATTGCTGTTGCTATCCCTTCGTGAAACTCGTGCAAACACGCCTCCTCTCCATTCAGGTGGAATTGCAATGCGAGTGGAAAAGGGGGCTTGTTCGGAGCATGATCGGTTTTCTGTTGCTTTGCTTTTTTGCTCCAAATGTCTTTCTAGCGCTCCCCCCACCTTAGGTTTCTTATTTATTTATTTATTTATTTATTTATTTATTATATTTATTATTTATTTATTTATGGTTTTTACTCACAATCGACAGACGCGAATTAAAGAAAACAATAAGTCGAATCGATAAATTGGGTAGTGGAAAGGGTCACAGTTAAAAGGAAAGGGGAAAGCGCCCAAACATTGAAAGTTCATGAGAATTGAAAAGTTGAACCACACATTAGAAAGGTTATGAAGAACAGCAATAGGTAGAAACCCTTATAGAAGGAGAAGGCTAAGAATCGCGCATAGACGCTGAAAAACTCAGGTTGGATTTTTGTTACCATAATACTTAGATTGAAAAGTCACAGTATTCAGGAGCCCCAATATTCCTCTTACCCTGAGAAAAATGGATCATACTCGTGTAGGAGCAGGCGAGTGTCGCACCGGAAGAGAGCAGCTCTTAGACCTGCAACTATTTATGTGCGCAGTTGTGTAAAAAAACAAACCTTTGCGAATTCTGAGTAGGGCGGTGCGGATAGCGGTATAGGGCCCTGTGCTACCGTAGTCGCGAGAGCACCCAGACGAAAGAAGCGTTAAAGTAAAGGATCCTGGACTAAGAGTAAGTTAGCTACGGAAAAAAGTGGCAGCTGCTTGCGATATTCAGTTTCAGTTTGGTTTGAAACATATGCGAATGTCTCCATTTGAAAAACCCTCACCCTTATTCCAAATTCAGATATCATTCATATGCGCGAGTTTCGTGCTTCTCAGGCCGTAGCGGGTAGGCTTGTCCTCAACGCAGCTCAATAAATGGAGAAATTTTCAGAAATGTAAGTAGCTCAAGTCGAGTCAGCTCGTTGTATCCTCTACCCAGCAGTCCAGAATCAGCTATTTGACGGATTCTATGGCTTCTCAGCTTTGATAGGGCCGTTCTTTGTTTACGAGGAGAAGTGATCCTGCTCGTAACAGCGATATGTGAAACTTTTCTAGACTTCTTTCAATTTCATAAATTTGCGACTTTTTCTAGCGACCGAACGGGCAAACAATATTCTAGAATCAGTCTCACGTGCATGTTGAAGATGCGAAGTAGTAATGCCGCGTCACGCATTTGAAGCTCCGGATAAGCAGTTGTTTTGGCATGAGGTCGTTGTAAGGTGTCGAAGTCGAGCTTCGTCGTATATCCACGCCAGGTCTGAGTTTACTGACTGAGTAGTTGTTTGACATGCGATGGTAAACGTATGTTTCGTGTGGTTTGCTCTAGTCCTAATGGTAGTTTGTCCTGATTACGAAAAGTTCCAGACTTCAACTTTCACACAATGTGTCACAAGTTTTATCGCCGCTTGGGAGCTTTATCAGTTTTGAAGCTTTACACCAATCCATCCCGAGCTGCTTCATGAGCTCAGTGGTCGGAGGAGCATACATCGGCGTGACGAGGTATCATTGTGGGTGTGTTGCTAAGTGGCTGGCAAATGTGCTGCAAAGGTCAACTTCTCGCTCTGTCGTTTTGAACTAGCAGGTTTTTTTATTTTTATGGTCAGGGAAGCTTTATCGAAATGGTCTTGTATTTTTGAATAACATGGGAAGAGTTTAAATGATTTTACTCTGAAATTCGCATTCGGGTTTGAAAAATCGGAACCTTTGTGATTTTCGCTATTAGTAGAAATTTGTATTGCAAATATTGCAGAATATCCTTCTCGGTGATGCACTTATGTAATTGTGGAGTTGAGTGCGGAGAAGTCACTTTGCCAGGTTCATCTATAATAAACCCTCCTGGGTGGGACGCCACGATTGAACCAAAGTACAGTGTGGGCACACAGGAGTACCCACGCAAGAGGAATCGTCTGGCTATCTTCCAGGCTGGGAGATCTCGAACACGTCTCAATAACGAATGTGATCCTTCTTTTAGGCATTGGATTTTTTAGGGGCAAATCTGACACGGAAATGTCAATTGGTCAGTTTGTTTATTCAAAATGAGATATATTCCTACGCGGTCAAAGGTTCAGAAACTTTCGTTTCTGTTCTAGCACAGCCTTAGCAACGAAATGGCCCCAAATTAACAGACCTGTATCAGGTCGTCGTCGTGATAGAAAACCCATATCTTTGCCTAGTTTCGTCTGTGGAGGATGAGCACTGTCTTTTTCAGACTTTCTTGTATTTAGCCCAGCCCACATTCCGCTGGATACTAAAAACCGTGAAATCGCGTGGTCTGACACATCCTCATCTAGGCGATTGTGCCGATGGGCACAATCGCAGAGTCTGACGGATATCGCATAGTGTCAGGATTCGCCATTCCTCACGCTGAGACTCGACGTTCTTCTCTCAAAATTGTAGCAAGCAAACATGGACTCCTGGAGACGGAAGCTTCTATGGTTCCAGGGTTGTCTCTTTCGCAACGTACCGCATTGACTTGGAAAAGAACTCTTAAATGAAGTGTGGCAAGAGCGTACAACGGAGGAGCCAAAAGTAGTCCGGTCACGTACTTTTTTGCTGGATTTTTTCGTGATATGCAGCTTGATCGTTGTGAAGTGAGTTCATGAAAGCTTCGTTCGCATTTCACCGAGCCACGCGGTTTGATATAGGTCGGTTTTTTTGTCTGCCAAAGCCTTCCGTGAATGTTTGACCTCTTTCGAATGAATACGCAAGTATCTCTGAAGACAAAAGCTGCCAAGCTAGTTGAGTAAATCTGTGCGACTGTATTTTTTGCATCACCCTAAAATATCACGGCGTTGTAGAATGTGTTTTGATAGATTTATTAGAACTTGCTTACAAGCATTACTTAAACGGCAACATTACAGCGTGACCTTGAAGAAAACTCCCTTCAAACGACAAAAAAAACGTAAAAAATGCCGATTACAACAACAAATAACAGGAAAATGAGAGCACAGCAAAGTTGGTGTCAGAGTGCGCGATCCGTCGCAGGTTTCGCTGATTTCCGCGATTTTCGCGAAACCGATTCTTAGATGAGTACTGCGAGGTGCTTTTAATCCTGCTGCGAATTCTGCTTGACAGTGAAGATTGAAAGACGAATGTTTGTGATTCTACTTGTTTCATGTTCAATGTCTATTAGTTCATTGAAATGCTCATGATTCGTTCCTGTTGAACTATGCTGGAGCGTTTCCGCGCAGTTCGCGGGCACTAGCGGCTCGGCCGTGCTCGCCGCGGCGGCGCCTTATAACGTGAAAAAAAGTAGGGGAAAGGAGGTTGATCGAGGCACTTTCAATTCCTGTGATCCGTCGCAGGCTTCGCGCGCAAAAATTGCAAGTGCCCCATTTGAACATTTGAAACACTGAATATGAAACAAGTGGAATCATGAGCAGTCGTCATTCAGCCATCACTATCAAGCAGAAGTGGCGGCAGGATTGGAGAACACCTTGCAGTATTGATCGGGCACTTGTGATTTCCGTGACCCGTCGCGTGAATCGCGTGAATCGCAAAAATCGCGCAAATCGCGAAAATCAGCGAAACCTGCGACGGATCGCGGACTCTGACACCAGCCTAACTTTGTTCTCTCTTGATCCAACTCGCCTGTTCACAGTAAAGCTTGGTAGAGTCAAGTCATATCAGAAACTCGCGGAGTGTAGCTGAAAGCTCAGGTAATCACGAAGACGCCTTCTCCAGCGTCGATGTAGCTAGTGAGGCTCTAACTACACACGGGCACCCACGAGTTCAGCAGCTTTACCTCAGTCTGTGAACATTTTATGGTATATTAATCATCTCAGTGGTTAGTAGTTATATGCGCTCAACGTTGTAAATAACAGTGCGTTAATAAATAACTTGACTAAGGCCCCGTTCACAGCTCGAGAATTGGGCTATGAGGCGATGAATCGATAGGTAGCACGTTCGCAGAAAGGGACCACGCGCCGCGACGAGTCAGGAGCAAAGTGAACGATCATGAGTGATCAATAATTTATCAACGTCTGAAGCATTTACGAGGGAAATCAATGCAAACTGGGAAGACTATCAAAAGCAGAACACTAGCGGCTATCCATCAGTAAACAACTTCTAGAAAGCAAACAAAGAGTGTTGTTTCATCCCTGGACTTCAATTTTTCCTATTGACACGCATCAAAACCTTCCAACCGCCTCAGCGCCCCATCGCATCTTCGCCTCGCGCGATCGCTATCGCAGATGCTATGGGTGTGACGCTATGGGGTGCATGTGACGCTATGGGGTGGAGTCCAGTCAATCGATGTGCACTCACATCGTTTGATAGAATCGCTCGATCGCTCCATCGCTTCTGCACTATGTAGCCGAAGTATCGAGCTTTGAACAGGGCTCCCATGTGATAACGCGCAACTCTGCAGAAAAAATCATATTCTGATAGCTGTGATTAGGACTATGATTCCGGTTAGTGCCATTTCTTCGCTACTCCCGACCAGAGAGGTGTGTCTCATTGATGATGTTGTTGTCTTCGTCTAGGAAAACGGATCCCGCAACAGTGTAACTCTTGCTAACAGGACTTGTCTTTCCAGGCTGGAATGGAGGAAGAGACAGAAGTCGAAGTTCCGAGCTCTTTTGTTGCTGTAAGCCTGCATCCATTAGCCTCCATACGTTGACCCTCTCTTTATTCTCCTAGAAAGGGTGGCGACTGAAGCATAATGCTTGGTTTTATCCATTCACATTTTTACTATACTACGATTTTAGAGAGAGCGTGCTGAATCTGCTCGTAAAGCGGAATTGGAGAGAAGAGAAAAGGAGAAAAAGGAGGTATTGTCCACTCAATTCTATATTAAACGGTCTGTCCGGCATGAATTCAGATCTGTTTTCAAAGCTGATATTGTGGTAAAATAGGCTCAAACAAACCTGTAACATGATTGGCAGTGTTATCGAAGGGTCTGGTGTTTCACTCTTACCGATGTGATATTCTATTGGACTTCGGTATTTTGCATTGAGTTTGATATCCAAGAAGACCTGAACCGATAGTCTTCACAATCAACTAAGGATTTCCCGTTATAGGAACTTACTTGGCTTGTACTCCAAGTTATTCCGGTTTATACTGCTACACATCCAAAATGTAGTGAACCCCTTCCATGAGGTGATGAGGGTACAAAATAGGATCGGTAAACAGATCATAGGCTATCACAAGTCACAGGGACTTGCGGTACCACATTTCGTGTGAACTGCTCAATCCTAATTTTGCTCAAAGAGGCTTTCAAGGTCATGAAATGCTAGTTTCTTTAATTCCAAGAGGCCACATTGAGATCTTTTTTTTACCTAATACGCTTCTGTGCGAAAAACAACCAGGTGGATGAGAATTCATGGAGTGAAGCAGTTTCGGGACTATCCAAGCTTGTCGCGCTTTGCGACTGTCCCGAGCGCTGCCATCATCCCTGACCGGTCGAGCAACATGCACCGACTGTAAGGGCATGCTCTGCCTCCGGTCCCGTCTCCAGCTGAGGCTATTCCGCCTCCAGCAAAAGGAGCCGTCCCTGGTAGACGGCGCGCTTCGCCCCCTCCGGCATGGTGTTGCGCCGCGTGACGCAAAGAAGCTGTCTAGTGTCGGCTCGCATGCTGCTCCTGCTTCAGCTATTAGTCAGCCCATTTTTACGCTGCCTTATGGCTATTCCTCCGAAGGATAATGCCTGCGATGAATGGACGGCTTGTGACCGTGCCTTGGCTGTATTTTCATCAAGAAGGATCCAGAGCTCATCATTGGCTAATGAGATAATTCACTAATGGAAAGCTAACGCTGTTAAGGAAATGAGTAAACTCCTGATGCTCCCGCGACGGTAACCTCGTCATGCTATTATCAAGTCGTTTGGCGTTTCTTCTTCTTCTTCTCCCTAGCGTTAGTCCCGCGCAGTCGCAGGGTCCGCTGTCTTTGTCAGTCGTCGCCACTTGTTCTATCCAGGGCATCTTCTGCTGTGGCCCTGACTCCAGTTTTCTTCTTGATGGCATCTCTCCACCTCTTTCTTGGGGCTAATCGCGGCCTCAAAATCCGTTGCTGTTCCTAATGAATGGTTCTGTAGTCCCCTTAGCACATGTACATACCATCGGAGGCGCTGCTCCCACACCTTCAGCTGGACAGGGGCAGTATGCTCTGACATCCTCGTTTCTGACCCTGTCCAGTCGCGTCCAGCCGCAGGCCCATCTCAGCATCCTCATCTCAGCGGAGTGAAGCTGCCTTTCGTGATTCTTGTTCAGGGCCAGCACTCGCTGCCGTATAGCATCGCAGGCCTTACCACTGTCGGTACACCTTCCCTTTGAGCGTTCTGGAGCACCTTCGATCGCAGAGGATTCCAGTGGACTCCCTCCATTTCATCCATGCCGCGTTGATCCTCCCTTTACTGCCTGGTCCACACTGCCGTCGGCCGCCAGATCGCTCCCAAGGTATCGGAAGTCTTCCACTCTTTCAATGGTTTCCCATGTCCGTCTATGATCGTTCCAGGCCTTTTCTGTCACTTCCGACGTGGACGGTCAGATCACCTGCTATGGTGGGGTGAACGCCTTTCGGAATCGGTCTAATGGCATCGTCAAGGCTTAGCTAGAACTCTCGTTCTCTCTCTCGGAGGCATCCTGTCTGTGTGTGCATGAACAGTACGTCCACCCCTCCTTCGTATCTATCCACACAACAATGATTTCGCTGATCTTGTTCACAGCGGAGACATAGCCGCTACCGCTAGGCCACACCGTTCCGCTTGGTGTCTTCTCCATTGTAGTAGAGTTTGACACCTTCCCCGATTTCCCTGGCCTTAGCACCTTTCCATCGCGTCTCCTGAAGGCATAGGACTTGGATATTCCTGCGCGTCATCAGATCAGCAACCTCTCGGGACTTCCCAGTTAGCGATCCCACGTTCAGAGTCCCAATTCGAACTAGCTTCTTTGGCCGAGGCCGTTCACTCCTCGGTAGCCCTCGCATACTGACCACAGAACTCGGGCGGGGGTTCTGCGCGCCACTTCCGGGTGACGTCCTAGCTTTATCACTGATTCTTTTGCGACTTTTAGACATGTTTGGTGTGACTGGGGTGTTCATCAGCCGGCCTGTCAACCTGGGCCTGACGCTGGTACTAGAACCATTTTTGCAATTTTTGCAAGGCATGGTTAACCTCGGCAGGGATCGAACTCGCGGTTTTCAGAGGTGCAGACATGAGTCTTCACCTCTTAACCCCTCGGCTATCCCTGCCATAGTAAGGATTATCACATTATGCACAAAAATGCAGAAATGGAATGGTTCGGAAAGAGTGGGTGATCGCGCGCACTCGCGGTTACCATTCCTGAAACTTGGAAGCAGTTGTTATAATTTTTTTTGAAGTACGCCGTTGCATTCACGGGCGATGGTTGCAGCCTACTCTGGCATACTCTGATTTTTGTTAGCTCGCACTAACATAAAAAATCGAAGGCGTTTCATGAGGACGGGAATTTTCGCAGTTGGCTATGGGCATATCAAGTATTTTTTAATGTAATTATGCTTCATAGTTTATTTTTATGTTTCAGAAGGCAGCCGCAAGTCCAACGAGACAGGAATCACCAACGAGGGTAAGATATCCCTACTATATATGAAGCATGTCTGTCTGTTTGTGTGTGTGTGTGCGTGTGTCACGAAATTCATAGCACGCTTCGCAGCAGTCGTGGAGCTGATTTTGAATATGATATAGGGGGTGGGACGGGAACATATTTGGTGGGGGTCAGAAAGTGATAACGACTGATAAGATTGATAAGAGGCGCTGAAACGCAAATTTCACGAAATTCATAGCGCGCGTCCCAGCAGCAGTGGGGCGTTGGTTCCAAGAAGTGATGTACAGGGTGGGACGGGAACATGTTCGGTGGGGTACAGGAAGTGATAAGGGCCGATAAGGGCCGATAATTGCGATATTCGTAGGAACATAGAGACCACTCAAACCATATTCTAGATAACGCATTTCACTTCAGTATCATCTCATTGCGTTGTGTCATCAACATAAAATACCTTTCCACTGCCGCACAAGGTCACTAGATCAAATCCGTCTCAAATCCAACGTCCGTTAGCCAAACTTCTAAAGATGATTATCTGTTGCTAGGAGCGATAGCTGCAATGCAGAACACACTGATAACTACCATTTTAAATAACGATAAGGGTAATAAGCCTGGCCTACGGGCATCACACTTGTTATGTGCGTACGCAACACATATTAATATATTATTGAAGATGTACACCACGGATGTTACCGCCTGAGATATTCCACACAACATAACAATTTGAAACCATAGGTTCATGTGAAAGAAACTATTGAGCTATTAAGAAAAAGAACAGCACAATATATTTATATGACGAACTACCTCTGTCTCACGGGTCGAGGCCATAAGTGCGTTACGGAGGGCAACGGGCAACGTGGAAATGGCTCCGCTCTTATCCTCGGGCATCCATGCGTGGATTCACTCCTAGGACGTACAGCGTGTAGAGACGTGAAGTGGTTACGGCGGAGTAAGCCATGACGAACGGCTACACTCGGCGGTGGCAGGACGTAGACTGACTGCAGGCAAGGGCGCCTGCACTCTGCTTCTCTGGCGCTCTTCGCGAAGCTTCGACGACACGGGCGCGCCAGGACCCACGCACACGACGTACAGATGTTGTGGATAGAGCTGTTCAAGGGAGCAATATATCTACCATTAGTTTCATTACGCCCTACCTGACAGTGGCGATAGTTCTAACAAGTGATAGGAGAGGTTGGACGGACAAGTAGATGTCTGACAGAAAGTGATAAGGTTTAATAAATAGGGTTATGTGGCGTCTGAATTTAAATGTCTCCAACTTTGTTTCGCTTCTCGCTGGTGTAACACTCTCATAAGCAAATGACCAAGGTGGCAAACGATTAGATATCGTAGGTACGCATGATTATGTTCCGTCGCATCCCTTGCAGATTTGCCGTTGAATCTGAATTGACGTCCAGAAAAAATTCCCGAATCCCTGCAGAAAACAATTGCCTTGCTATTTTTGTCGCGAGTAATAAGTGGCAATTTTTCGTGTCTTGGAGTGGAATCTATTAACTCGCTTTCGTTACTGGCAGTCTGATTCTAAACGATTCAGACTGCTCGCCAACCTACAAGCCCTACGCAGCAGGATTCAATGGTGAGCTTTATTTGTTATTTCTACAGCAATTTTGAATACTACGATCTATGCTATGTATAAGAATTACGTTTCCAGAATGCAATTTCGCCACAATCACCTTCATCTCGACTATTTACATCTGAAGCTAAAAAGGAGGTACAGTGACAACCAGTACATTCTCAAACACTTATGGTTAGCTTCGGCATCGTTATAGGGATATGTTGGCTTGTATATGTCCCCAAATGCCAGTGGGTGTGACAAGGAGAGTGAATGAACCCACCGATAATAGAATCAGGAAACAATTTTGTTTTTCTATTAATCTAATAAGATGTGGTGATTTGATAACTTCACAAATGCCAGAAAAGACAGCCAATGAGCATAGTAGGACAAGGCGCCGACCACCAGAAAAGGAATCAAGTCAGTGTTGACACGTCATTAGGCTGATGGGAGGTCTTTGTCATTATAAGAACCCTCTCTACAATATGTACACGATGCACCCGCAATTACTCCACAGTTCACTAATGAAACCACAGGAGCTTGTGCGTAGCGTATGCGGGGAAAAAGGGAATCATGGCGTCTATCGTGGCCCTAACTTTTTTAAACCCAATAAAATTGAGCAATATAACTGATAAATTCAGTTCTAATCCTCAGACTCCATATAAGTACTTCAGCCGCCATCAACAGAGGAAGACGAAGAAGATGAAGTGTCTGTTGAGATTGTCGAGAAAGTAAGAATTGATTTTGGTGAATTTCGCCATTTCAATCTATTGGGTTGTCTCATAATTCCTGTCGCATTTCTATTCAATTTCAAATTCCTTCCGTCTAAGACCGTTTCATTGCGAAATACGTTAGTATGTTGAAGTATGCTTCAAGAGCCTTAACAGCATGGTTTCGGAAGCGCAAGCCCTTAACGGGTTAATCAACTAGGAATAAAAATAGGTCAGTGACTGCAATGAATGATTATGCTTTACGATCCTCAAATGAACTCTGTAGCAAGGAGGACAACAGAGAAGATCAGCGCTGTGTTTGACCCAGTCTCTGCTACTGATAGGGTACTGAGCTAGTGGTCCAATCGCAACGGCAAAGACGAAACGAGCTATGAACTTCAACCTCATACT